GTTTACTAACAATTTAAATATGCTTTACAGCTTAAAGCCTCTAAGCTAAAAATGTTTAATTGTTAATGTCACTAAGTACAGATAGGACTTGCCTGGGAAGTTTCACCAAAAAAGCTGTTATTTACTATTTCATTTCCATTGCACATCTGTGAAGTGTGAGCTATGGGTTTTCAGATTTACTTTAGAGATGGGCAAGTGCAGGTACAACTGTAATTCAGGCATAGAGAGACACAATTTAAAGCTGGTATCTTTCTTTACATCTGTAAACCAAAAAACATACACTATTTATTCATCTCACTGGAATATTTTTTAGCAACTCTGAATGATAACTGTCTGCCTGAAATTTGGCTGGGCCCACTCTGACTCTGTGATCCATCATCTTTCTTTTCCCCTTGTACCTCCTACTTGATGTATGTTTTCTTTTTTTCCTTTCTATTTATTATTTTCTTTCTTCCTGCCAAAGTTGCCTCAATTATTCTATGAAACATATCTCAAGCTCTACTGACTCCAAAAAAGAAGATGGACAATATCATATATTTTAGGCTCGGCGCCGGTACCACAGTATGGTGCCAGTCACATACACCAAGGCTGGTAGGTTCAAACCTGGCCTGGGCCTGCCAAACAACAATGAAAACTACAACCAAAAAATAGCCTGGTATGAAGGTGGGCACCTGTAGTCCCAGCTACTTGGGAGGCTGAGGCAAGAGAATCGCTTAAGTCCAAGAGTTTGAGGTTGCTATGAGCTGTGACACCACGGCACTCTACCCAGGGCAACAGCTTGAGACTCTGCCTCAAAAAGAAGAAACTAGGAGATGGTTTTAGGAAAAGATGAACAAACTGACAGAAATGTAGACTAAAATAGAGAGCAGACAAATAAAACTGGATATGAAAAGATATCCCCCCCTCATTACTGATATCACAGAAATACAAAGGATCAGGAGAGACTACTAGACTAAAATAGAGAGAAGACAAATAAAACTGGATATGAAAAGATATCCCCCCTCATTTATATCACAGAAATACAAAGGATCAGGAGAGACTAGTGTGATTAACTGAATAATCTAGAAGAAATGGATAAATTCCCAGAAATATACATCTACCAAGACCAAATTAAAAAGAAATAAAAACTCTGGACAAGTAACAAGTAAGAAGATTAAGTCAATAATCAAAAAATCTTCCATCAAAGAAAAGCCCAGGACCTGATGGCTTCACAGAAAAACTCTACTAAATACCAATCCTTTCTCAATATTAGAAAAAAACTGAGCAAAAAAGAATGCCTTCAAATTCATTTTACAAGGCCAGCATTAGACTGATATCAAAGTCAGGCAAAGACACTACAAGAAAGAACTATTACAGGCCAATATCCCTGATGAACACAGAGGAAAAAAATCCTCAACAGAATGCTAGCAAACTGAATTCAATCACACATTAAAAAAATCATTCCTATGATCAAGTGAGATTTATCCCTGGGATGCAAGGATGGTTCAACATATGCAAATCAATTAATGTGATATACCATCTTAATAGAATGAACAAAAACTGTATGATCATCTCAACAGATGCAGAAAAAGCATTTGACAATATTCATTATCCTTTCATGATAAAAACTCTTAACAAATTTGGCATAGAAGGAATGCACCTCAAAATGAAAGCCATATATGAAAAGCCCAGAGCTAATATCATAATGGCAAAAAGTGGAAAGTTCTTCCTCTAAGATTAGAAACAAGACAAGGATGCTCACTCTGACTACTTCTATTCAACATAGTACTGGAGATTCTAGCCAGAGGAATTAGACAATAAAAACATAAAGAAAAAGCATCCAAAATCTTGAATAGTGAAAGCAATCTTGTGCAAAGAGAGCAAAGCTGGAGGCATCACAAAAAGACAGCAAGAAAACAAGCAACCCAATCAAAATACTGACTAAGTACCTAATAGACACTTTTTAAAAGAAGACATACATAGCCAACATTTATGACAAAAATGCTCACCATTATTGATCATCAGGGAAATGCAAATTAAAAGCATAATCACCTCATACCCATCAGAATGGCCATTATCAAAAAGACAAAAGATAACAATTACTGGCAAGCTTGTGGAGAAAAGCAAACCCTATGAACTGTTGGTAGGAATGTACATTAATACAACCATACTAGAAAACAGTATGGAGTTTCCTCAGAAAACTAAAAACATAGTTAACTATATGAACTAACAATCCCATTTCTGTGTATAGTAATATCCAAAGGAACTGAAATCCGTGTGCTGTGGAGGTATCTATCTGCACTCCCATGTGCACTGCAGCATTACTCACAGTAGATAAGATACAGAAACACCCCAAGTAGCCACCATCAGATAAATGGACCAAAAAATGAGGTATATATCCCCAATGGGAGACTTGTTTGGCTTCAAAAAAGGAAGAAATCTGTCTTTTGACAACATGGATGGACCTTTAGGACATAAACCAGGCACAGAAAGACAAGTCCCTCATTCCACTTACATGTGGAATCTAAAGAAGCAGAGTTCACAGAAGCAGAGAGTAATGGCTGTTACCAGGGGCTGGGGGAGGGTGGGCGTCTTAGTCCACTTAGTGTTACCTGAAAGACGCCTGAGGCTGAGTGATTTAAAAAGGAAAGAGGTCTATCTGGCTCACAGTTCTGTAGGATATCCTAAAAGCACGTCACCAGCATCTGCTTCTGCTGAGGGCCTCAGAGTGCTTCACTCATGGTGGAAGGTGATCTGGAGTGTGTAGAAATCATGTGGCGACAGAGGAGGCACCGAGGGGAAGGGGCCAGGTTCTGGCAACAACCAGCTCTGGAGGGAAAACCTTCCCCCAGGGAGGACATTAATCTACTTATCAGGGATCCAACCCCATGACCCAAACATAAGGTGACCAGATTTTAACATTGGTAAAGTGGGACACCACTGGAGGGGCAGGGCCTGACAACAATGCAAACTTTGATAAGCAGTTCTCAACAATTATTTGTTATTATTAAAGTTTAACACTATAAAATTAACAAAAATAATATAAAACACATATCCTGGCGAAACAGCCACATGGCAGCCCAAAACGGTATATTCCCTTCCCGTTCTCCCGTGTTCCCTAGCTTGTTATGCATTCTTTCCAAAAATTGGGGCTTTTTTAAAACACTGCAGGACAAATTGTTAAAAATCGGGACTGACCTGCCAAAAGCAGGAGATCTGGTCACCTTACTCTGGTGGGGAGGGGGGCCTACTTGTTTGTTCCAGACAGTTTGGCTCTTTCTGAGCTAATTGCCCTTGCCTAGAAGCAAGGGAGGGAGCCAGTCTCCTTCTGATACCTTGCCCAGGAGGGGAGTATGGAGTTTACATTAGCCTTTTCATTTCCAAATGAAGTTACATTAACCTCTTCATTCCCAAATGGAGTTACATTAACCTTTTCCGCAACTGAAAACCATATATTCCCTTCCTCTTCTCCCATGTTCCCTAGCTTGTAATGCATTCTTTCCAAAAATCGGGACTTTTTTAAAACACCACGGACGCAGGACAAATTCTTAAAAATCGGGACTGTCCCGCCAAAAGCGGGACATCTGGTCACCTTACCCAAACACCTCCCATTACGCCCCACCTCCAACTTTGGGCATCAAATTTCAACCTGAGATTTGGAGGAGATAAAGATCCAAACTACAGCAGGGGAGGAAGTAGAAGGGGCTAGGAGAGATATTGATCAAAAGGCAGAAAGTTTCAGTAAAACAGGATGAATAAGCTTTAGTGATGCACTGCACAGAATAGTGACTACAATAAATAATAATGCACTGTGTATTTCAAATTGGTAAGAGTAGATTTTAAATATTTTTACCACTAAAAATGATAAGTATGTACGGTGACAGACTTATTACCCTGATTTTAACATTCCACGCTGCAAACACCTATCAAAACATCACATTCACCACATAAATATATAGAGTGACCACAAAGTTCATGTGCAATTACAAATTATAAATTGCACACAAACTTTATGGCCAGCCTGCAAAATAATTATTTGTCCTTTACAAATAAAATCAAAAAATAAAGAAAATTAATGGAAACATGACCTCCTATCCATTCTTCAAAACCCAAATACTATCTTCCCTGTGAAATTCTGTGCCAGTACCCCCACTTGATGGCATTTTCGCATTTTCCCCGGTAATTTACATTCTGCTTCTGTTCTGACTCCCATCCCAGTGACAAAACATAATTATGTATTTGCCTCCCTCTTCCACCAGGATGTGAGCCTTTCAAGAGAAGAGGTCTTTATTTTAGCAGAGAAGATACTGAATTCAAGTTGGATAAAATGGAATTAAAGAACAAAATTTTATAAAAGGGTACAAACATCCAATCTGTCTCTGAATTGATTAATCTGAGCAGTTCTCAAATGTAAATGGATGTTCTCTGGTGTTCTGTAAATCCTGTAACAATTTTAGTCATGAACATATTAGGATTTCGAATCATCCTAATCTAATCTAAATGTTTAAATGTCTTAGGTTCTGACCCTGAGATATGTGGAGGACAGGGTGCCGGATGCTAGACACAGATTTTTGGAGTTTTAAGTTTTTGGTTTTTTTTTCAGTTTTTGGCTAGGGTTGGGTTTGAACCTGCCACCTCCAGCATATGGGGCCAGTGCTCCACTCCTTTGAGCCACAGGCACTGCCCTTCTCTTTTATCTTGCTTCTAAGACCAATAAAGCCATGACTGAGTCACTGAACTTCAGAGATAACAATGTGAATCCAAGCTATCTTGCTAGTTCTTTTCAAAATTGTACCAACAAGAACTGAGTTAAGATTAAAATACTGTGTTTACTAGCTCATATCAAATAGCAAATTTCTTTATCATTCTGTAACATTATTTGTAAAATTAAGCAGATGGAAAACTTTTTTAACATCAAAATGTATAACAAAAACATACTTAAGTCTCATACTTCAAAGATAACTTCCTTCGGTTAGGTGCAGTTAAATGATAATCTCCTCAGATCACCCTGGGTACCATACCTGTCCTGTGTATGCAAACTCCAGAGCCTGCTTTAAGCCAAGGCTGGTCACACCGTGTAAATTCACCTCATCAGCTCCACTTTCCACCATACAAAGACTGAACATTGCCTAAGATGGGGAAAGAAAGAAAGAGATAGAATTATGGAAGTTCGAATACAAAGCAACAAGACAACCAAGTAAGAGGAAAAAATCCAGAACCTTCAGGCCAACAGGATATCAGAAAGGGCTCCTTCATCTCCTGACTTCTATGGCTTTTTTCCTGCCTTATTCCAATGATGCATCTGTTCCTCTCTCATCTACCCTGCATCACATAGTCCATTCTAGTCCTTCTCAAAGCCCTAAACCAGCAACGTTAGCATCACCTGGAAACTTGACTGAGTATAGTTCCTCGAGGTCTCACTGCAGACCTACTGAACCTGACATTCAGAGGGGGTCCCAGGGCTTTGTGTTCTAATAGGCCTTTCAGGTAATGATGGGCTCTTGAATTTGAGAATCACTAAGTTGTTCAGTACAAATCAATTTGCCCCCAACCAAATTTTTCAAATAGCCAACTTATTGAAAATCAGTTCTCCTACAAATGATTAGCGTGACAAAAGAAAACTTGAAAAGTGAAAAAAAATATAAAAATAAAAACTTTCCAAATTAAACAATACATGGATACTTTTTTAAAAAGCAAACAAACAAAAACGCAAATACCACACTAATGTGTACCCTTTTGACAAGTTTGACTTAACCAATATAAAGACAACATTCAATTTTGCTTATTGATAATGAAATGAGGTCTACTTAGAAAAGTATGCTTCTGTAAGTGAAGAATTAACCTTACCCATGAGAGGTATGGTCTCTGTTCTTGGCTTCTGGGAGGTAATCTCTAGGCCTTTGGAGTGTCCTGGTTGATTGGAATACCTCTGTTTGCCCAGAAGCCTGGCCACCAACAGTCAACCACGTGATTGGTGATGGGTTTTGGGCTACACCACGTGAGTTTTGACTCCCACAGGAACTGGAGACTGACGTTACTAGCCTCAACTTTTGAAGAGGCTAGAAAATGAAGGTCAGACCAGGCAGTATATGACTTAGCCCAGATAAAATCCCTAGACACCAAAAGCATGAATGAGCTGCCAAGGCTGGCGATCCTCTGTGCACACTGCCATATACTGTGTCCATGAGGAGGTAACACCACATATTACCCCATGAGAGAAAGTCAACCAGACCCATATTTAGTTCTCCCTACATGCTATCCTATGCCTCTTTTTCCTTGACTGATGCTAATTCCCTGTAATAAACCACATTCATAATTAAAGCTTTGCATGAGTTCTATGAGTCTTTCTAGGGAATTACTAAACCTAAGAGTGGTTTTAGAAACCCCCTAAACTTTCAACTGATGTAAAAAATGAGAGCAGTCTTATGGGGACTTTTCCTCAGATTTTTCTGCTTGGGTAACTTCATAGAGGTAAACTATACAAAAACATACCACTACTCTATGTAGTAAGTATTTAGTTAATGCTAAATTTTAATTTAAAAAAATTCAATTTCTTTCATTTGCCATATATGAATATTCATCTTTTAGGAAATTTTTATTTTAACATTTATTTTTTGTCTTCACAACTCTATACATTTTAAATCA